TAATGATCTTTGGGGTTTAAAATAATGGTCTTGGCCTAATAATATCATAGGTAATATAACTAAGATCAATGAGTCAGATAAATGTTATTAGTTTTCGAATTAATGAGAATTTTAACTGTAAAATTAATAGTCATCATGTCATTGCTTAATAAATTAACGTGAGTATTATATAATTAGCGACCTTTATCCTCATTAAATTAATGAAATGGAGAAAAAAAAAAATTTATTTGTTGACAGAAAAATTATAATAAAATTATTCTATTTTATTATAAACACATTAAAACGATCGCGTATATTGCCGCCTACAATACTCAGGCTAACCCGGGGATAGTATGTGAGAAGAGGGATACTATACAGGATGACTACATATTGTTCCCGACAGTTATAGTTTCGATAATATGACATAGAGGTACGTTTCGACAAACGTTCATTTTGAATAGGGCAGGCGGCATTCTTAGGTTCCTAGGAATGCCTATGTGATCACAGCATAGCGAACTTTCATTGTGATTGGTTAGATTTTGGTGATCATCTCGTGGCCGATCGACATCGTAGAATAACGACGGTACGTAGTATTAATATTGGCTTAAATATTAAGACACATCATTATGTACACAAGAATTGTAATGCTCTTAATACCTTTATCATCTCCTATAAAGAAGAAATATCCAGTTTATTATTGTAAGATCAATAAATTTTATTTATTCTATCAATCAACACACCCTTTTCACCTTTCCGTACGTTTTCATTTGTCGCGGATGATGCTAAAATTTGAGGGTCTCGATTTAAAAATATAAACCTTACACAAAATCAACCTATACTCTTTTGCTAATGTTGCTAACCTAAATCCTAACTTTACACTTAAAAAAAAGCCAACTCAAAAAATTTAAAAATCGCACATAATATATGTTACGGCTGATGCTGAAGTTTGGCTGATGTTGAAGCTAAAAAATCTGATTGGCTAAATTTTGCAGATCACCCTAACCCTAACCAATCAGATTTTTTAGCTTCAACATCAGCCAAACTTCAGCATCAGCCGTCACAATATATACAAATTTCAGCATTATCCAATTTAAACATCATTCGCGACATTAAATACCAAAGCTACCTATCATGGCAATATTATTAAAACTTCGTACTATTATTCAATATTGAACCAAAGATCATTATATGAAGAGAAGTATATTAGTAAATTTCAAAAAAATAAAAATAAAATAAAATAAAAGGCGGTTTAAAAGTAAAAAATAGTAAAAACACAGAAAAGAATAAACATACCATTCACCCATTGTTTATAAACTGCAAACGTCGTGGCGAAACTATAAAAAAAAAAATTTAAATCGCATAGTTTAAAATAGATTATAAACTAAATAGAAAGTTTTAGAATACTTAAAAAGTAGCTCTCATCTAACTTCCGAATTACCTCGCCGATTACCAAATTACTTTAACGTCTTGTAGAGAAGGTATCGGTATCGGTATAGTTTCTAAATTTTTATGCCACAACCCCTGCGAATTCGTGGCTGCGAATCTATTTTTGTGATTCTTGTGACGGAAAATCATTACTTTAATAACATATGGGCGGATTGAACGCATTGGGCCTTAGCAAGAGACACCAAATTTTTAATTTGAACCCTATTTTTTTTATATTCAATTGGCCAAATGTATGAAGCAATTACTCGATTATATCCTAGCCAATGTGTTATTTTCCAGTACCCACGTGCTATAAAAATTTTTAAAAGGGAACTGGAATTTTTTCGCTATTCGCACTAACCCTAGCATTGTATAATAAAATTACATGATTTATTTGTTGGTTCAATAATAGTCCGGTTCAATAATAGTCCAGTTCAATTTAGTTTAATGAACTGGACTGGTTCAGTCCAACCCTGAACTGTACTGTATACTCTATACATATACTTACCCCAATGCCAACATATATTCCACTATGGAATGTATTAACAATTTATATCTTTTATTAATGCAATGTAAACTGTAAACAATATTCTGATCCAATATAACTTATATAATAATGATTATCTCAATTCAAAATATATAAAATAGTTGTATATAACAACATTTTTACATTTATTGTATGTTATCACAGTGAGTAGATTTAAAGGCTTTCATCTGATTGGATAGATTGGATAGATTCGAGGGAATTATATTTCCTCTTATAATCGATTTGCCGTTTTGAAACATCCAACCATTCGAAAAAATCACACTTTTGACCTTCATTGACACCTGAAGCATAGCACATGTAAAAATATTTACCAATGTTTGGGCCTCGCATCACCGGTTTCAAGACGCATTGAATTCCACAAGAACATTTTGGAGTCCATTCAGCAGTATATTCATCTCTGAATTGTCTGAAAGTGATATTGATTCTCTTTGAACCAGCGATTGGATGGAGATTATCAATGACATTTTGAGAGCATACTTCATGTTTCCAAAGTTCTTGACAGGGAGGCCACATGATAAGAAGAGAATTATGAGGAAGAGGAATTGATATAATTCTAGAAGATTTTTCATTAATTCGACGAAGGCGGAATTGACGAGTGGTACCAAGCGAAAGCGAACCAATTATTGGACGTGGACCAAGGCGTGTTAACTGGAAAAAATAAATTTAATTGCAATTTTATTCTAGTTACGAAAAAAAAAAAAAAAAGAGATAGAGATATTGTGTAGTACGTACTTGATCGCTGTGCCAACCAACACTTTCTATTAACGTTAAGTTGAAATATATAAATTTAATTCCGGTTCGGGATTCGGAATCAATAATAGGAATTAATGAATCTTGCCTTTTGAGTTTGCATAGCAATTTGTCTTTATAGTAAAAAATCAGTTACCAAATTATCGAGAACATTCCTACGTATTAAAAAACTAATAATAAAATTAACTTCTTACAGCAGCAACATTTGGATTCCATTCACCCTGTATCTCGAATTCGTGACTTTTTCAAACATATCATGTGATATAAAGATAATGTGGTACAATATAATTAATGAAACACTATATCAGTATCGGTATTACGTCATAAGCATTAATAAAACGGATACGTAAGCAAATGTTATATTACATCACTCTGTTCTTGCGTTTCTCGTTAACAATGTTCATTATGATCTTTCTTGCTTCTTCCATTTCTGGTAAAAACTGTCGCGCATTCGAAGTTTTTTTACCGTTAAAATAGACATCACCATTGTAAGTGTTCTTGACTTCATTTGAAATGTAAAAAGATGATGTGTGTGGAGAGGTAACCATCCGCTCA